TTATTTCCTCACAAGGACTTATAACTGGGTTATCCTCAGCTAAAAGCCACGGAAGACCGCTCTCGGCAAAGTTCCTTCAAATCCCCAGCGGAGTCTATCTTTGGCATTCCCAAGCAGAGTTTATCTTTGGAATTCCCCCAGCGGAGTTTATCATCATTATCCTCAGCGGAATCCGTCGTTAAAGTCCTCAGCAGGCCTCTCATCAAAGCTTCGGCCAAGTATCTCTTCCACAGAGCAGCTTCCCGGCCGTTCGTCAAGGATTTATTTTCCTAAGATGAAATTACACTCATAAACATTTCACATTTTCATACATCTTGCTTACATACATGATGAAACGCATACAACATCTCATGTTGAACATCATAACATCATGCATATCATACATCATGACATTGCATACAACTTATGTTTTTGCCTTTTCAGAAAAAAAGACAATCCCGAAAACAACTACCTTCAAACTGTCACAATTCCAGATTCGATACCTGTATCTAGCCAGGGCACATCTGAAAGTGATCAGTTTCCAGACTCGATTCCTGTATCTAGCCAGGGCACGTCTGAAGAGTTCAAAGATTCGATTCCTGTATCCAGCCAGGGCACATCTATCAACTGTCACGTTTCCAGACTCGATTCCTGTATCTAGCCAGGGCACGTCTGAAGAGTTCAAAGATTCGATTCCTGTATCCAGCCAGGGCACATCTATCAACTACAACATTTCCAGACTCGATTCCTGTATCTAGCCAGGGCACGTCTGAAGAGTTCAAAGATTCGATTCCTGTATCCAGCCAGGGCACATCTATCAACTACAATGTTTCCAGACTCGATTCCTGTATCTAGCCAGGGCACGTCTGAAGAGTCCGAAGATTCGATTCCTGTATCCAGCCAGGGCACATCTATTAAACGACTATTTCCAGATTCGACTCCTGTGTCCAGCCAGGGCACATCTGTGAGCAATCAATTGTAGATTCGATACCTGTATCCAGCCGGGGCACATCTGCATAAGGAGACTAAGGATCAAACACCTGTAACAAGCCAGGAAAACATCCGCCTCTCTCAAATACACAAGTTCTCGCTAAGGAATCTCTTATGCGATCAACACTTCCAAATGGCATCTATAAGCCCATTCCCGACAAGGTTCTGTCACGTCTCCGGATGGCATCTGTAAGCCCATCTCCCTATCTACCGCCTCTCCAAATGGCATCTATAAGCCCATTCCCATTGCTGATACTCTACTAGGCGAGTGCAAATTTTCGGGCACTCTGGTGTCCAATCTCCTTTTACCCTCGAGTCGCGAAAGGCAAACTCGCCAATCTAACTCTTCAGGTTCAAGAAGATTGAACAGGGGCAACTGTTGTACCCCAAAATTCGCCCTCCCTTTCTTCAGGAAACCATCTTAGATTTTTCAAAGTCCCCTGAAACAAATCCAAGTCCTGGGTTATCCTTTTGCCCAAGCAAGCCACTTACAAGAGCAAGATGATCTCACAAACTCCGGAAACAACACTTTCATCTTGAGGAAAATCAAATTCCAAGTGCTTAGAATGTTTCTTTAAAATAAGTGTTTTTTAGAAAAATCAGCGCTTCAGAACTTCTGGACCCATTCCAGATGAAGATGGTCAGAAGTTGCAAGCTTGGCTCAGCGTGGTCAGAAGTTGGCTCTTCAGCAGTTACACAAGCTCAGTCAGAACTTGCTAAAGGAATGCAAGAGAAGCAGGAAAGTGTGAAGACTCCTTCAGAACAGGTTGAAGTCAGAAGATGAAAGGTCAGAGGGATAGGTGTCACATTGATACAGAATCTCTAAGTCCAGAAGTAGACCCAAGGAACGTACCAGAAAACCAGGAGAATCTACAGAGCTTGCTAAGACAACAGGTAGCCAAGGCCAGAGCATGGTTTACGCTGCTGATTCAACAACCAGAATGTTAGTATTGACAGGTCTTGTCACCATTTAATGCCCATTAATGCTTCCAACCACTCCTGAGCGTTCACGTGTGGCTTGGAAAAAGCTTTTGCACAGATTCTGGCATGGGTCTTCACGCCACCGCCCATTTCAGAGGTCACTTCCCCCAATCTACGCCTGCTGCTGCTACCTAGGATGAAAAATAGCTGTTATCACAACTTCCCAGGAATTTCTGTCAAAGAACCAGTTCAAACTCTGTTGACGCCTTAAATGTTCAAGATATCCACAAGAACTTTGCCTATAAATAGAGAGCTTTCCCCACTGCAAAAGACGTTCAAGAAGTTCAAGAAAAGAAACAGAAAAATTGCTAAGAGAGAAACCAAACTCCTAAGCAACACAACATTCTGAAACTCTGCCAAAATTTCCAGCCTTGTTTCATAACTTTAAGTTTCTCACCTTCAACTTCACCAAACACCCAGCCTTTTTTCTGTAAACCAAAAACGTTCTTTCCAAACTTCTGACCCTATACACGTTTACACCTTCACTTCCCCTTGTCCAAATCTGTCCAGAACACCACCAGAACCAAAAGCTAACTTTCACCCACCATTTTCCAGAAAGTCAGGTAAGCACCTGCTGACCCTCACCACACTGTTAAGCATCATCAGCTGTGCATATTCAAGTAACATAATGTAAATATTCATGTTATTGTTGTTTATGTTCTGAGGATTCTCATACCTCAGAACGTTCTGAGCCAGTTTAGGACCTGCCTGTGACCTTGGTGATTCTGACCTCTGAGACATTTTGCTATTTTGCTGGATCTGTTCCAAATATGTTTTCTGTTTTGTGGAGTAACAACAGGATTGCAGATGTTCTGATTAGTGCAGGAAAAAGCCAAGTGCTGACTTTGGCGTTAGCACATCTGAAGCTGTCAATAACATCAGAACCTCTGAGAGCTATTGCCTTTTCAGCAGAATCGGAACTTCTGGGTTCTCCACTAACAAACTTCTGTCTTGCAGCGCAGGGAAATCAGAACTTCTGGTTTCCCCACTAACGAAGTTCTGTTTTGCAGGTTCTAGAGTCAGAAGTTCTGACTCATCCAGTTTCACCAACAGGTTGATCATCTGACAGCGGATCTGGGTCAGAACTTCTGATGGCCTTCCAACAGCGCGCAGGCTCCCTCTCTCTCTCTCTCTCTCTATATATCTTGTTTTCCGCTATTTTCTTTTTTGTCTATTTTTCTCGTTGAACCCCCCATGTACAAATGTGTATCCCCCTCCCCTAACTATTGTAATAGCGTAGGATTTTACATTTCCGCTTCTTATTGCTAGTAATTAGGACGTGTATGGCAAGATAAAACTCAATGAAATAGAAAAACCTAATTCAAAGAAAAAAAAACTCTTGTATGCAATAAAACACACTTGCACACTAACACCCCTAGGGTTATATCCACTTGTTGCCTTTCAAAATTGGGCCATATTGCATGTTAGGTCTCTTTGGGCAAAACAAACAATTTAAAAGATCATGGTCCCTCGATAATATTTTTTCAAAGCAAAATGATCAAGTCCCTTAAAGCAAATGCCCAAAGATACTTGGCACCATTGCAATTATGGTCTAAACGATGACCCGCGCCCGTCCCTTTCACATCCTAACACAAGATTGTCCACCAAATACAATGGTGGAATAAACTTGTTAAAAGGGTTAAAACATAGCAATACTCTTTTGAGAAATTTAGGAGTAGACAACCTCTTAGTTACTTGAATCAAACTTGCAAAACAAAACACTTGCCTAATTTCAAAATCACACATCACAACACTTTCAAAACAAACTTTCAAAAACAAATGAAAACCTTTTCAAAAGACATACACCTTTGTATACATCCCAACATGGATCATTACAAAGGTTGCCACTACATTGGCCTCTTTTCAAAACATTTTCAAACCCACACACACACAAGCACCATTTAAAACAATTGAAAACAAAAGGCAAGTGATCTAAGCAAGTAACTAAGAGCCCATGGATAACCATGGATAGAAAGGGTGCTAATACCTTCCCTTTCTATAATCTACTCCCCGAACCCAAGAAAACATCTCAAAAGGTTTTTTGCTGTGCTTTTTAACCTTTCCTTAGGATAAAATAAAAAGTCGGTGGCGACTCTTGCTAACCGCAACATTTGCGAATACAAACGCAAAACCTCAAGTCAGTTCTCCCACCGTATCACATCCCTTAATAACACTTCTATTGACCATTAGACTTAAATCATGAACCTGCACTTCCTATGAATTCGGGAAACCACACGGCTTCATCAATCTTCGCACTTATACGATTCACGGCACACAAAACCATCCCAGAGAAGCACGGGCTTCTCCCCCACTTATTTCAATCTCACTCCTGCAAACAAGTGATTAGAACAACAAGAGAGTACCAACAGTGTTTCACACACATGTTGCGTACTAAGGAAGAAAATAACGACAACATTCCACTATCACACTACAGACTCAACAACTTGGTCGGATAGACCGACCTGCTCTGATACCAATTGTAACACCTTATTTCCTCGTCGATAAATTATATCAAATCAGAGTAGTTTAATTTCTAAAATATAACATCTAAATAGGATATATATATATATATATATATATATATATATATATATATATATATATATATATATATATATCTTAATTTAACAAAATAGAATGCTTCCAAAAATGTATATTTATCTTCCTGGATGAGTATCTTTTAATAGTGGTCTGTACCGTAGTGTTAATAATACTGCAAGTTTATCAAAATGGGTTACTTCCAAAATTTAATGTCAACATCCAACGAACCAAATTAATTACCAATCAGGCAGGTAACTAGATATAGATGCCCTATTTGTCATCACCAAAATATTTAAAGCATATGACCTTGGTGTTTAATGATGGGACCCGCTTTTTATTCAATGAGTTGGAAAATTTAATCACACAGACAAATGGGCCCTAATTTAAAGTAAACATACAATACATTATCTCCAATCTAAAGTTCTTAAATAATTGATATTGACCCATATATATCAATCAATGTATTCTTTTTATTAAAATGTTGACATCTTGATATGATTAATCATATTTCAAATTATGAAGAAGTAGGAAGCTAAAACAAATAGTGAAATTCCATAAAGCATCTTTCCCTGTTTGCTACCACTCTTGTCCTGAGCTACTCCTGTATTTGTTCCTTTTCCATTGGCATTACTAGCTGCAATTAATGAATTTTTATTTTAGTTACTTTTAACTGCGCAATTATTTTTACAAAATCACATACTAATACACAAAATATAACTTATACTCCATTCCTCTCATAATAAAAAATATTTTTTTTTGAGTCTTTTAATTTTTTTACATAATAATTAGTTGTATTAATTTAATAATAAAATAAATCTTATTTATTAAAATAATTTTATTAATAATAAATAGTTAAATAGCTGCATATATTAAAATACAATAAATAAGAATAAATTAATAGAAAGAAATAATAAATATCACATTGTTATTCTAAATAGACAAATAATTTGAAACAAATAAAAAAAAAAAAGATAACACCTCTTATAAGATAGAGAGAGTATATTTTATTTTATTTTTATAAAGTTAAAATTTATTTTGAAATATAAAATTTATTTTGAAAGATTTCTTTTTATTTTTAAAATAAAATTAATTGTCTTTTAGAATAGATTTTAATTTACAGTTAAATATTATTACAGTTAATTGTACAAATGAATTTCAAATTTTAAAAGGTGGTCACTGAGTAAATTTGAAAATTTTGAAAATTTCAAATCAAGAAGATAACTTTAGCTTCTGATAAATAAAAAGGTACGAACTTACCATTTTAAAATTAGAATAATTTTTATGTCAAAAAAAAAAGATTAGAATAATTTTGTAAGCAAATAAATAAGTGACCATTTTGATCGATATTAGGGATTTTAGAGTATTAAATTCATTAAATTAGTACTTTCATTTATTAAATACTTATTGTTTTGGTTGATAAAAATAGCAGTTTGTTTAGCCAATGATTTATGGTTGACGAATAAATTCATAAAATTGAGTAAAATAATTGTTGAATTAACTAAGAAATATAAAATAACATAACATTATATTTTTAATATGACTTTTTTCAAATATAATAATAAAAATACAAAATGAGAGAAAATAAAATATATTAAAAATTATAAATTGAAGTACTATTTGAAGTAACATTTTAAAAATTATTAATTTGTTGAACAAGACGTTTTCAAAATAATATATGTTTTTATTTATTTAATAATTAAAATTTTATTTTTAAAATATAAATAAATAAAATATTAAATAAGTTTTTGATCCATCTAAATATCTCAAATTTCGTTTTTATTTCCTTTAAATTTTTCTTTCAAAGAATAGTCATTCTAACAAAATTAAATTTTAAGATAGTCTCTAATTTCATCATTAAATAAAAATTATCGCTAAAATTATTGATAAAACGGTTGATAAGTTGTTAAAATCGTCACTAAATTACATAAAAGACAAAAAATTAAAATTTTATTTTTTAAAAAGACTATTCTTTAAAAGAAAATTTTAGAAGAATTAAAAATTAAATTTAATGTTTTAATAGGATATAAACTTATTTAATCAATAAATAAATAAATGAGTGAAACTTGAAGTGTTTGACTAACAATTTTGTATTTACACATCAACTCCGATAGATTATTGAGATCATTTAAATTCTTTCATATAAATTTTTTTTGTTTGAATATCGATATTATTAATGAAAATTAACTTATAATTTTAATTTATTTTAAAATAAAATAACTTTAAAAAATAATATAATATTAAGTATTATTTGATTGAATAAAAATTTCGGTGCTCAACTAAATTTAACATCCAATTCTTTACCATAATTTTATTAAAAAAATGTTATTCTTACATCAATTCTTATACATATACCATATTTCACTATTTATTAATACAGTTAACACTGAAATATTATAATAATATTTTTTAAAAATAAAATAAAAAAATATATTTTTTAAGTTTAAGAGAATAAAAAAACAAAATTATATAATTAATTAACTTCACAATTTCATTAACTAACATTTTAAATTTATTAATCAATTTCATAACTATTAAAAATCTAATTAATCTATTAACTAATTTCATAATTTCATGAACAAATTTTTTATATTTTATTAATTAATTTTTTATATTTCATTAATCAACTTCATAATTACTAAAAATTTAGACAGTCTATTAACTAACTTCATAATTTTTATTAATAAATTTTTTACATTTCATTAACCAATTTTATTTTATTATAAAATTTATTTTTAATTTTTAAGTGTTTGTTAATCAATTTCATCATTTTATTAATAATTTTTTAATTTCATTAATCAACTTTATTTTATTATTAAAAGACATTGTTTATATATTATTCACAACTATTATTCACTGGTACTGATCACACACTGTTTAAGTTATTGTTCATAAAATATATTTTTTATTTAAAAAAATATTATTTCTCGAATAAATAGGTAAACAATATTTGGTGTAGAAGTGGGTGTAGGAATAACACACCAATTTTTATTATTACGACCTTAGGTTATTATTTTAGGAAAAAACTTAGGTGTATTTTCTTAGATGTGGGTTTATATTTTTTTACAATAAAAATATGGTAAATGTATAATTTTTTCTTACACATATATAATTTCTTTCTATTTTTACTTCTTAAAAGATTTTTAGATATATTTATCATATTTTTATTGGAGAAAAATATGAACCACACCAATAGAATTGTATCTAAGTATTCTTCATTATTTTATCGAGGTGTGCTATCTTAACACTATCCTTTACGCTTCAATTTGACATTGTATGTATTGTTCACCGTATTTATACACTGAATAATGTATTTTTATTAAAATATTATTATTTTTAAAAATATTTTATTTTAAAAAAATATATTTATTTTTAATATTTATTTTATAACACAAATATATAGTTATTTCATTAATTAACTTCACAATTGTATTAAACACAAAAATATACATCATTAACCAACTATTTTACTTATAATTCTTTAACCATTTTCACTATTTCATTTACCAATAAAACACATAGTATTACCTATGTTCTGATGCTAAATTATAAATGTATTAACTAATTTTTATACTATATTAATCAACTTTATTTTATTATTTAATATTTTTTATATTTTAAAACTTACTAACCAAATTATGAACTGTATTAACAAATTTTATTCAAATTATAAGTAAAGTCTGAACGGTATACGTATTATCTAAGTATGAATTATATTTACCAAATTTTTATGTATTATTAATTAAAAATATTTTTGTGTAAAAATTATAAAAAAATCAAAATAAAATTATTATTGTTCACAGTATTTTAGTAAACAGTAACTACAGTGTAAGCGTAACATTTAGTGTCATGACAACATTACTCTATTTTATTATTGTGAAACAGTCCAAATAGTTTCTGTTGTTTTCTATTCTCAACGAACAGTTTAGATAATTATTCTATGGACCAATAAATAATGTTTACCTGGAGAAACTGGGGTAGTACTATTTTTCTCCAAAGTTTTCTCAAAGTCCTCAAATATCTTAGCCTCATGAGATTTAGGTGACAAATGCAAAAGATCTGAAAGAAGAAAAAAAAAACACATTAAACTTGCCATGAAACTCAAAAGCATATAAAACTAAGAAAGAACCATATATTAAAGATAAAGACACTAACTTACCAATACACTGAGTTATATTAGTAGGTGAGTTACAATCAGCAGGTAACTTAAGAGCAAGTGTGACATTAATACTAAAACCAAGATTAGGGTCATCATGATCCTTAATAAGAATACACAAACATCTCTTACTCTTATTAACAACATCTTTAACACCAGTGCAACAATCTATAGTTGGTGTCTTTGATTGACCACTCACAAAAGGAAGACAATTAGCCAAACCTATGAGTTTGTCTGTGCATTCTGCTTTGTCTTGGTTCACATCTGAAGTCACAAGACCAAACATAAGAACTAGGAAAATCAAGGAAGAGAAGTGTGATAAATTTTGTGCACTTTTGTAACCCATTTTGATGATGAAAGAGTAACTCAAGACAAAACAAACAAGATGTGTGTGATATAGAATAGATACACCTACACCTCTCGTTTTGATGTATGTTTTTATTTATGGTATAAGGATTTGTTTGCTTGATTGTGAGTTGTGACTTGAATTTAAAGTTACCTACTTTTATTTATTTATTTACTTTCTAAATTTGCGGGATAAGAGATGGAGATGATTAAAACTTTCCGGACAAGTTTTTTTACTTTTATTACTCTTTATTCATATTTTTAACTTTGTGCAATAAATGAAAAATAATTGTTCGCTTTTAAATCTTGAAAAAACTCAAAAAAGAGAAAAAAATTATTTAAAGTAAAGTTATCATTATAACCAAAACTACTTTTAGCAGCAATCATTTATAATAGTTTTTAAAGACAATATAAATGGATTCTAAAATATTTACTGCCAATTACTTTACGATGTTATTAAAGTTTTTAACAACTCCATAACTATATATATATATATATATATATATATATATATATATATATATATATATATATATATATATATATATATATATATATTCGTCACCACTACTTTTTGTCATAATAACGAATAAATAATAGAATAAAATCTTAATTATTAAGAGATTCTAAGTCCGTGTTTTGTTTTAGACGAATGAAAGATGTTAGACACCATTTTTCTACCTTGTCCTCAAGGATGTCACAAATTTAGATTTAAGGGTAAGATAGAGTTTCAGAGATAATTTGTGAAAAGGATTTTAATTTTTTAATTAGGGGACTCGTTACGATTTTTAAGTCGTATGCTTACGTATCTTATGAGAAATCAAAGTCCCAATTAGTAGTTCGAAGTGTTTAGTTTTTTTTTATTTATGGATTGTGGAAATCTCTTAGAGTCTTTTTGAACCAAGTCTGAGTTTGAAATTAGCAGAATCGTAGACGAAGTTCACAGTTGATAAAAGAGATCTCCACAATCCTTTTTGAAAATATCTTGATTTTTATATGTTAGTAGAAAAGGGTTAGTGTCATACGGAGGCAGAATCGACTATTAATACTGGTTTGCATTTTTTGTTCGCAAATGTCACGATAAGCAAGATTCGCCACCGACTTTTATTTCATCCAACACAGGAAAAGGGAAAAGAACAGAAAAAACCTTTTTCGAGATGTTTCTGAGTACGGGGGATAGATTATAGAAGGGAAGGTGTTAACACCCTTTCTATCCATGGTTTTCCATGGGCTCTTAGGTACTTGCTCATTCTTAAATTGCTTTTGTGTTTGTGTTTTTGAAAAGTTTTGAAATTTGCCTTAGTGCGGCGTTTCACTTTATGGTAACCCTTGTATCAGTCCTCAAGGGTGTGATAAAATATTTTGAAAACTTTAGTTTGAAAAGCTTGTTTAAAAGTGTATGTGTAAAAAGTTTACTTGAGCAAGTACCTAAAAATTTCTACCTACTCGAAAAAAAGTCTGTTCACTTTTTTATTTCCTTTAGACAGTGTTATTCTACTATTAAGGAGTAGGTAGCTCCATCGTTGGAGTTTAAGGGTCAATCGAAAGGGACGAAAGGGACAATTACGATCACTAAAGTAATGGTTTGGAAACCTTAGTAATTACCCTAGAGTCCTAAAGATCTTTCTGAGACAATATTCGAATGAGTCATTTTTTATCTTTTGGGACTAGAGGGCAACCACTAAGACTCCCTATACTTCATGATCGTTTACCGAAGGCAACCGAAGTGGGGCAAACCCTAGGAGTGAGCATGTGCAAGCGTTTGTTTTTCAGTTTATTTAATCTTTGCACATTTAGGGTTTTCCACCGATTGTTTTTATCTTGTTCATGCAATCCTATTAGCCACACATCTAACAGTTAATATATGTACAAAAATATAAAGTGCGGAAACGTAAATTCCTACGCTATTACATGGCTTCGGGGAGAGGGATTTAATTACGAGTCCAAAACCGGAAGAAATATAAAGGAAAACAATAAAAATGCCTTATAGTCTGGCTACATTGATATGTACAGGAATATAAAAGTGCGAAAGAAGAAAATGAGCGCGAAAAATTAAATACGAAAATTAAAGTTTAAATTCTAAGAAAACTTAATTAATGAAAGAAAATATTTTTTGTTATTTTTTTATTTTTTAGGCAAAAACATTAAGTTAAAAATGAAAGGAAATTAACTCTAAATAACTTAATATTTTTGTATTTTTATTTGAAAAAAAATAATTAACTTGTAATTTAAACCTAATTTCTAGCTAATTTTAATTATGAAAATAAACCAAATTATCCTAATTAAACTAATCTATTTTCAAAATTAATTTTAATAAATAAGGAAGAAAAAACTAATTCTACATTTTTTTGTGATTTCTTGATTTTGTGATGTTTATGATTTTTTTAATAAAAGGAAAATAATTGAAATAAAAGAAAATAAGTAAAGCAAAAAAGAAAAATGGGCCGCGCTGCAAAAATGAAAATTAGGGGTGAGAAAGAAGCAGAATTAAAAGCTCAAACTGGACAAAGCCTGGTTCTACGCTGGATCCAGTGTGGATAACGTCTTGGGGTGCACCACAGAGACGCGGCTTTGAGGCTTTAGATCTGGCAGTTTTAGATTTCTGCGTCAAAACTTAAAAGCAATGGTTCTAAAACATTCTAAACATTAGTATGAACATGCATGAATGCTTATAAACCATTTACAACGTAAGAATTGAGAGTTTGTAATTAAGAATTTTTACCCAACCGGAGCTACTTGGTGCAGCTGTTTTGGGCGTGGACTGGCTTGGCAAGAGGCCTGGGTAGATTCCTGGAAGCCTCAGAAATGTGATTTGTCCACTTGTTTGGACTAATAGCACCTGGAAATATAGTTGCGAACTCTTGCAACTTTTAGCAACTTTTTTGAGAATTTTGTAGAGCTTTCTTGAAGAGGAATTTTGTGCCTTTCAAGCTTGTATGGCTCTATATTTATAGAGGAGAATGAGGAGACAAGAAAGCATGGAAAGAATCTCCCTCATAATGTTGTGTTTTAAGACCATGATCAAAATTTGAAAAAATATCATATTTGATGATTTCATGTCATTTTTACATGTGGATGAACCTGGACATATTTGAAGGGTTATTTCACGAAATCAATTGACATAAACCAGCATAAAACTTTCCCAAAATGGATTCACATCAAAATTTACATTATTTATTTATTTAATTCTGAATTTTAATGAATAAAATATCAAAATAAATAGCATAAATAGTAGAAAAATGTATGAGTGGGCTTAGAGGCCGTGGACCATGTTAGGAATGAGTTTCAAACTTGAAAAGATAGGCCCATTTGGAAAAAAATCCAAGTTTGGTCAATATTTGCTTCATGCATTTTTCTAAAAATTAGCCAACTTTGACAATGCATATCTCTCTCAATTTTAACCCTATGAGGGTGTTCTTGGACTTTTTAGAAAGCTTAGGATGTCCCCTAAGCGAACCTTTTGGTTTCATGTAATTGGATATTCCATGTTAATGTAAGGATCTTTGACCCAAAAGGTGTTTTTGTTGACTTTTTAGAAGGACCTATAATGTCTGAATTTATATCTTTAAATTAATGCTTTTCTGGAACTTGAGGGATGAAGAGAAGTTGTAGATAATATGATTCTATTCAAAATGATCCTTGGTGGAAAAATTTCTGATAAAGTATGAGAAAGTTATGCCTGGTCAAAGTTTGGTTGACTTTTCTTGTAGAAACCCTAATTTAGCAACTTTTGAGTTTTGATGAATTAGGAGCATTCCTTGAGGAATCATGATCAAACCTTGATCAAATGATGAATATCACTTCAAAATGTTGATGTTGACCAAAAATATTGAAGTTTGACTGTAAATAAGCCACAATTGACTTTTGACCTAACATAGTTGATTTTCAAGCATTTAAGCAATTGACTGTGCAAACTTGTTGTGCAAGGCATGAAACTTGACATGGATGATCTTGAGGACATATTAGGACCATGGAAAAGATTTGAGACCTTTGGAGTTCACATATATTGATGAAAGTGGAAACCCTAGTTGAAGGTTCATTGCCTTAGGAGAGAATTTGTCTGGTTAATTCTTGGGCATCCTTAAGCAAGTTGAGGAATTCAATGAGCATGTGTTGAGTAAAATGAGATGGTAAATTTTGGGGTGCAACAGTTAGTATTTGATTGATTATACATTTTAGGGTGTATGCAATTATGCAAAAAATAGGTTTGAATGAGAAAAGATTTAATGCAATTTAGAAAATCAGAGTTAGTATTTTAAAATATTTAATTAATAAATAATTATTTTCTAATTATTAAAAATATATTAAATATTTTTAATAATTATTTACTACTAATAATGCAAAAATATTTTAGTGCAAATGCTAAAGAATATGTAGAATTAAAAAGAAAATAAATAAATTAAAAGAATTAAATAATTTAAGAAAAATTCAAGGTCCTATCAAATTCCTCCAAAGTTGGTGCTAGTTGAAAATTTTGAAAGGTGAAACACCTTAGTGGAGGAACGCATAATTGAACCAATGCAGTGATAGCGTCCACTTGTACATTTACTTTAGTCAACTCAAGGACATCTCCATAGCTGCGAACAAACATCTTCATAGCTTTGTCAGATAGTTTACCTTTGATAATTGTTGAAGATTAGCAAAGAATCTGTTGTGCAGATTCTATTTTGTATATATCATAACTGCAATTTTATGTAAATTAATTAGCTGCATGTTTTGTTTTTATCACATTTAATCTTAGCATTTATATGAATAACTACTCCCTTAATTTCTAGGCTAAATTAGCTTATCCCTCTCATCCCTAAGTACTATATATACATCTTATGTATTATCAACCAGCTATGAAAATATACAAACATATTTCTACATGGTATCAGAGCATGGTATGAATTATCCCTAAATTAGCACCGTCAAACTATGGAAGACTAAAAAATTAAGACATCACTCAAGATGGAGACTAGATCTTTTCCGACCAGCTCACACGATTAAAAATCTTGTCCC